ACTACCAACGTAACATAACCTTAAATAAAAGTCACTAAAACCAATTGTGTTTATTCTGAATTGATAAATTAACCTCTCAATCAGCACCCTCTCCACCATTAAACCTGCGGTACGGTCGACTCCATCCACCTTGGTCTTCTGACCATCCTGGTAGATGGAATTCCAAATAGTAAATATAATATTAAAAAAAAATTATATATAGTTTGGTACAAACTTTTTTCTATTATAATTACTTATGGTGTAATTATGTGTTTTAACTTCAAGTTTGCCTTTTAAATTTTATTTTTATTAGACTATAAGGTCCACATAATTATGAATTTAAGTGATGTCAGTCATCCTTTTGATAACTAATTAATTTTTTTAATTTAAGAATATTGTTTAAAAATTCATAAAAACAATTATACGCTGAGTAATAAATTTTGTATAATTTTTTAATATATTAACTACATAAGATCTGATGAAAATTACAATTGTATTTACTCATATTTAGTCATGTTTTTAGATGTTAGAATTTATTTTGATTATAATCTTTTAATTATTATCAATATTTCACTATTGAGCAAAGAAAGTTTGATAAAACAAGTTTTAAGTTGTAAACATAATTAAATAGAATTATATTTCAATAAAACATCTATGTTCAAAAATTTCATTATTTCACAATTCTTATTTAACTTTGTAAGGTTTAAAATATCCATAAAATGTGGTGGTGAATGCATAATTAAGTAGAACCATATATATTTTTATTGTTTATATAATTTGTTACTGAATTTTCTTTTTCGACTACGTGCCCATAAAACAAGAATAGTGCAAAAGTAAATATAATTATAGAACTTTTTGTGTTAACATTGCTTTATGATTTTCATTTTAATTTCCGGTTGATACTTGTTACAAAAAATATTTTTACAACGGAATTTTTTACTCGTGACTGTTAGAAACTTTTCAATCTGAAAAAAAATAAATCGACAACATTGATTGATAAGATTAGAACTAAAATCATCCGACACCATTTGTAAAATATAATTTATTTTTATAAGAAATAATTAGGTATGTAGTACTTATTAATTATTAATACAATCAGTATTTAAAAATAATACAAAACAATTGAAAATTATTTGTAAATTTGTTAAACTTATTTTAAAAAGAAATCATTTTGTATAAGACTCTTATTTGGTTATACAAACTTTATTTCTATCATATCTATTTAAATATATTTTATTTATATAAAGTAAATTTTATTAAAAATTTTACGAAATTTACTTATATCAATGTTCACAGTTGTTTTATTTGTGAAATATATGATGAATTTCAAATTATCCATTATTTATTTAAAAAATTTATTGAAATGTTCATGTACTGTAATAAAATTAAATCTAAATGTATTATTATATAACCATTATTTTATTTATAGAAGTGTAATATATATGAAGTGTAAAGATGAATATAATTATTAACAAATCAAACATAAATTTCATTAATATTTTTAAGAAGTGTATACAAATAAGTACAACCTTTATATTAAAAAATATAAATTAATATTATGGATTATTGTTAATTTAAAAAATTTTGAGAAAGTAATGGAGTGTGATTCAAATATAAATAAAAACTATATATGCAAATGTAATTGATTCTCTCTCTCTCTCTCTCTCTTTCTCTTTCCTTCATTTATAAAATTAAAATAAATATTTACTTTATGTTAATTTATATACTAATGTTAATTTTTTAACATTAAAAGATGAAAAGTTTGTACACATAAAAAATATATTTTGACACGTATTAAATTAAATTATTTTATGAATTTTCTTTTGTAAAATCAAATTTCGATAAATATTTTATTCCAAAGTCATAAAAAATAAATATGTATATTTAACTACGTAAATTTTTTATTTCTTAAGAATATTTTAGGAAATTATTTAAAAAAAGATAATATAATGAAAAATAGCATAAATTCTTAAAATGTATCATTAATTATTTCATGGAGTTATTATTTTAATTATTGTTTTTAATAATATATAAACTAAGGTTTAATGTATTATTACAATATTGCTACCTAACACTTAGCAAAAAAATAACATTTTCGTATTACAATTTATTTACTTATTGGTCACTGTCTAAATATTTTCATTAATTTTGTTATAACATATAATGTATGAGGATTATTATGTCATCATTATTTTAAGGTTGATAAGTCATTGTAATGGTTAAAGTTATATAAAATTCAATAAAGTTTATAAATTGGTGTTCTTATAAATTATAAAAATTGTAAATATAGTAACTACATGAAACGATAATAAGTGAGGGAAAAAAGAACGTTAATACAAGAAAGAACATTGATAATAAGACAGGAACATGGAAATAGAAGGTCAATAAATTAAAACTTATTCATAGAAATATTTTTTGTATTTCTCATTTGTATGTACTGAAATACATACATATACTTAAGTACAAACATGTTTTGTAATTTAAAATGAAGGATGTCTACTCTTTTATCTAAATTTACGTCGTTCTTATAAATGAAATTAATATGATATTTGTTTTTGACTTCTATTTAATTTTCTTTTTTATAACATGATAGAATTAATTTTTTAATGTTGAGTTTTCCATTTATTATTTACAGGCTGTTTTTAAAAAATTATTACATTTTCTTAATTGTTATTCTTTAAGAAATTTATTATATTAGATTTTAATATATACCTTTTAAGATTTACTTGATATTTTAGTATATATTACTGTATTAAAATTAAATTAAATTAAATTATAATATAAATTAAATAAAAATAATATAAATTATAAATTAAATTAAATGTATAAAATGTCTTTTCTTTTATAGATAAAGAAACAATTTAATTATTGTTTTATATAGTCTATTTTAATCGATATTGTAAATATATATTTTAGTATATATTACTGTATTAAAATTAAATTAAAATTTTAATTTTTTGATTGAATTTCTGTTTTTATATTTCATTTTTATATGACAATTTTCATTTAAATATATTTTAATACTATCATTAATAATATAAAGCTATAAAGGCCTTATATAAGCAGTAATATGATCGCTATATTTATCTACCTATGTACACATAAATGTACCTAAAATGGAAGAGTTTGTTCATAAAATTGAAAATTCAAAATTTTTTGTTGTAAGTAAAGATTTGTATCTATGGTAAAAGCTCTTATTGTATTATTTTTTATATTAACAATATTAATAGGATATTTTATAGAGACCAAAATAAGATAACAATATTCCTATTACAGTGGATAATGAAATGAATGAATGATATGCAAGGTATAATCAATCTTGTGTTTTAAAGTTTATTTTAATATTAATTTTATGCATATACTTTATTACAATTTGTAATATTGAACTTGGTTACAATTTCTACAGCCAATTGTAATATATATTTAATTTACTTATTTTGCCTTATTTGATAATTTATTAATCATCAAAAAAGAAAATACTTTACAAGACCTTTCAATTTTTATTCAGGAAATATTTCACTTTCAGGTGTCCCAAATGTGAAACTTTTTACAAAAAAATTTTTTTAACATTTTTAAGGTTCATCATACAAGGAGATAGTTAAATATTTTTGAAAAACTATACTGTATTTTCAAATTGTATTTTAATATTTAGAATATTAAAATATGCTATAAAAGAAATTATAAAAAATGGTATACAAAATATTAATTTGCATTATTTTATTTTATTTTTTTTATACTATCGAGTATTTTGTTCTTTTGTCTTAATTCGCAATCTTCATTTTTTATAATCATATCTCACTTATATATTATCTTTACTGAAATAGTACTTATCTTTAATGAAAAAAGAAAATCTTAAAACAGATTTTGTAGATTTAAAAGAACATTTTTCGTTTAAATATACTCTTAAACTATAATTATTAATACTATTATAATGTTTATCTAACGTAGTATCGTATTACTTTTCATACAAAAATTATATATTTATAAATTTAAAATAATTTTAATAAAAAATGACTCAAAAATGAATGAATGTTTGTAAGCCAAAAATTTATATTTAAGAAGGTTTTTAAACAACATATAAGATTTCACAGTAAACTTGTCTAGTGAATGTTTATGTTTCAAATTATTAGCTAATAGAAGTCTTAAATTTAAAAACTAAGCCCAACATAAAATAAAAATGAATTTTTAAAATAAAAATTGAATAAAAAAATTGAAAATTTTTAAAATAATGCGCAAATTATTGGAAATCATTAAGCATCAAACAAAACTTTATATAAAAGTAAATATTCTTTATGTACATGATATGAATCAGTTATAAGAAACTGGGAATATTTTTGTTTTTACGATTCGAGAGAATTTATAAAACAAAATTTAAAGTTTGATTATTTAGTTCTTTTATTCCAGAACATTTTGTACTTACTATACTCATATCGATTTGTAAAAATGTATACATGATTATCATTTAATCTGTTACACATTATTTATTCTATAAAAATATATTATAGAAAAAAACTATTTAAATATGTATCAAAACTTATGTATATATTAATATAATATTAACCCATGTACAACAGTATTTAAATTTTAAGTGTTTGAATTTTTAAAATTGAATTACCGCACAATCAACATACGCTTGGATATTTTAAAGCAATAAGCTAATTTAAGTGAATATTTGTTATCAAGAAGTATTCCTTCATAAAAATATTGTAATTAATGAAAATATTACAAAGTTTTCAATATAGAGTACCTTGAATATTTACTGTAATTGGAAGAGCAGTAAAACGTGTTTAAAAATGTGTATAAAAAACAAAATATATTAAAACCCATACTAAAAATAAGGTCATCTAATATCTAATCTAATATCTAATTCAGTTTACTTTTCGTAAAAATATATAATCAATTGAGACATCATTAACTGATTACTGTGTTACAAATTTTTTTATTAAAAAATCAATGTTAACATATTTTCAATTTTTACAAAAAACACTGTTAAAAATATTTAATTTTCTATAAATGATTTTATGAATAGAATGGAAGATAATCGTTTTTATTTTGCTATTGATCGAGGCGGTACCTTTACAGACATATATGCAAAATGTCCTGGTGGGAAAATTAAAGTAATGAAGCTGTTATCGGAAGATCCAGTAAATTACGATGATGCTCCACGTGAAGGCATCCGCCGTATTTTAGAAGAGGTATACATAATTTTTTAAAACCTAACTAACATTTTATTTTAAATTGCGCTATTATTTTTTTTATAATTCGTTATTAGAATAATACATAAAGCCATAAATTTAATAATTTCAGTACAAATTATATGATATTGTATTAGTATAAATAATAATTTTATATACTTTTATGAAAATCAAAAAAGCTAGTTAAGTAATTATTTTTTTAAATATTTTAATTAGGAAAATAGAATATCAATAATTGGTGAAATAGATACTTCACAAATTGGATGGATTCGAATGGGAACAACGTTAGCAACTAATGCTTTATTGGAGAGGAAAGGGGCAAAAACGGCACTTTTAATAAATAAAGGCTTCAAAGACTTATTATATATTGGAAATCAAGCGAGACCGAATATTTTTGATCTTGTAAAAATACTGTTATATCTCAACTAACATACATTTAAGGAATTAAAAAAGACTTGATTAGATTATTTCATATTTTAGTTTATTTTATATTTAGTCATTATTTAGTTAATTCTGTTATATTTAATTTAATTTAATTTTTAAGTAATCTAACGAAAATGAATTTGTTTCGATTATGTAAAATGTATTTTTTAATAAATTGTAATTCTCTCATTTTCTATTTTATATTAAAATTGTTATCGATAACAATCATACTGAATAATAATAAATTATAGGAAATCGTAATGCCAGATGTTCTTTATTCAGAAGTAGTAGAAGTGGACGTTAGAGTTGTACCTGCTTTATTAACAAAGTGTAAATTGTTTAAAAATTCTTGGAAGATAATTAAAACTTCAACCGGGGAGGATTTTTTTATTGTTGATGATTTAAATAAAGAAAAGTTAAAACAAGATTTAAGAAAACTCAAGAGCAGTGGGATAGAAAGCTTAGCAGTAGTTTTAATGCACAGTCATATGTGAGAAGTTAAATTTTTGTCATTTTTCTATTCTAATAAATACTTGCAACTTAAAGTTCAAATATAAATAGAAAATTTATTTTAATAGTTATGCTGATCACGAAATTCAAATCGGTGAACTAGCTGAAGAAGCAGGATTCGAGCAAGTTTCTTTATCGCACAAAGTAATGCCCATGTGTAAAATTGTACCTCGTGGTTTTACAACATGCACTGATGCCTATTTAACGCCTCATATAAAAAGCTATTTAAAAGTAAAATATTTTTGTATCAAGTTTTTTACAATCGTTAATCAATTTTATTTAAATACTTTTGATGCAGAACTTCTCCAAAGGTTTCAAAAATAAACTTGGTGGAGTTAATGTCCTTTTCATGCAAAGTGATGGTGGATTAACTCCTATGAATTCGTAAGTTTTTCAATATAATTTTTCTTTTACATTTAATCTAAAATATTATGATAATAGTGCAATGCTCATAATCTGATTTAATAATTGATTCAAATGAAGATACATTTTATTTGTAAACGTATTTACATTACTCAATAATATAAATAAAAATATAAGTTTGATTAAAAATATTTTACGTATCCAAATTAAGTGATATAAATAAAAATATAAGTTTGATTAAAAATATTTTACGTATCCAAATTAAGTGATATAAATAAAAATATAAGTTTGATTAAAAATATTTTAAAGCTAAACAATAATAAATGTATTTTAAAATCTATGCATAGACAAGTAGATTCACATATATTATTTATATACATTAAAAAAATTAATTAACTTAAATTTGTATACGCACATCATGTATCGGTACATGTGTTAGTAATAAGTAAATTAAATTGTATAAGCTTTATTAATTTTATTTAATTATATTTGTTTAGTAAATATTGCCATGTATAAATCAAATTAAACAAAATTAACATTTTAAATAAATAATGTTCAGAAAATTTTATAATTTTGTGGTCAGCACAGTACTACATAATATATTAATTTAAGATAAATTTATTTAATACATTAATATTTAATCAAAATAAAAATTGTATAAAAAGTTTTATAAGAATTTAACATATATTTAGTTTATGTGTTAAAATAATTTTGATGGTATTATTATGCTTTCATAAATTTCATAAATTTCATAAATTTTCACATTAATACTGAATTATTTTCAATGCAACAAATGTTATTTGTTACTTAAAAAACATATTGCAATATCAAGTATTAAGTAATATAAAAAATGCATCATACACATGAAAAGAAACAATAAATGTAATTTTTTAGTTTCAAATATTCAAGATTACTAATATTTATAAAATTTTATTTTTTATATATTTTTCATAGATTTAATGGATCAAGAGCTATACTTTCTGGACCGGCAGGAGGTGTAGTCGGATATGCAATGACTACATTTCAAAAAGAAACTGAATTACCTGTTATAGGTTTTGATATGGGTGGCACTTCAACCGATATCAGTCGATATGGAGGTACTTATGAACATATTTGTGAAAGCACAACTGCTGGAGTTACTACCCAAGGACCACAGGTAAACATAATTAATAGATTTTATTTAATCATAATCATAATCATATTTTAATAAAATATCTTAAAGTTATTATTTATTATTATTTGTTATTTTTATTTTATTTTTAATTAAAAACATTGAATTTAGTATTAATAATTTTATGTATCCAAGATGTTTATTATTTGAAAAAATGTAAAAGTTAACTTCTACTTATTTTCTTTTTGTTGTATCAATAATATATAATCGTAATTCATAATAAAATAATTTAGTTTATAGGAATAAAAAAGATTCATTTTTGTATAAAGACAACTGTTTTTAATTGTGAAAATATACATATAAATAAAAAATTCTTTAAATAATAGAAACAGGTATTTTCTAAATGTTGAAATTTAATAACAATTTGGTTAAAGAATATTGAATAATTTATAGAAATTTCTATGAGTTATTTATAACTTTCGATTTTTTAATACTTTCATATATTTATTAAATAAGAAGTTTATTTTCATTATTTCTACTCACATTCTGTAGATTCCGTATTTTTATTAATCATAAAATTAGATATCATTACTTAATATAAAAAATAATTTATTAATGCTTTCTTTTGTTACATTTAGTATATAGTTATTAAAAAAATTATTTATACTATATTTTTTGAAAAACCAGTTTATAATATCAATAAAAATAGTTAATAAATAGATCGATTGATTTATTAGAAAATTTAAAACAAATTGTAGTAAATAAAATAAAAACAATTATTACGTCAAAGAAACTATGAACTTTCCGATTCGTACTGATTTTTTATTAAAATATATGCTTTATGTAGATAAATAGTCAACATACGTCAAAGAGAATGTGCCAAATTAATAAATCTGAACAATTTATGTTTGATTTATTCTACTACTAAATACCGATTCATCAATTAATGAAACCTTGTTATATTTTTTTTATTCTTTTTCTAATTTCTTTTCGAAGAGGTCTAATTATTCACTTTGCACAATTCATTTTCAATAGAAAATATTATGTTTTAATAAAATTTATTTGTTAATTATTATATAGAAAATATACTTTCAAATAAATTATTGATAATTATTTTGATTTATTAAATGAATCATCGATCAATTTATATGAACTAAAATAGATAACATTTTTTACGTTATTCTATCAGATTAATAAAATATAATTTTTTTAAATTCCATATGGATTATTTAATATAAAAGACAATTATTGGATATTAGATTTAGTTAATTTATTTATTTCACTACCAAAGCATATTGTTTACATATACTCATTTTTTTAATATTTAAAACTTTGATCAACCTCTATTTTTCGAAACTTTATTTGTCGAAACTTATTTTTTTTTTAATTGTGAAAAATTGAGCAACTATTAGATTGTTGATGTGTAATTTTATTAAATAAATTATATTAACCAGAAATATAAAATAAGGAATTTTATAAAATTCAATTTATATTTAAAAGATACTGAAATTTAAAAAAATCGTCTCATATTTTTATTCGAGTTTAAAATTGACACATCAGATTATTAATATTCAATACTTCACTACACCATAAACTATATGACCGAAAAAAACGTTTTGATTGCATATATAAACTTCGACATAACGTAAATGCATAACTACTGTTTAGTTGATCATAAGCATAATATAATTTTATTCAATCTGTGAAAATAACTATTTTAAGCCGGTTATGAGATATAGAATTTTAATTGTTTTTCATCCATTCAATTTCCTGAATAATATTTTTTTAGATTTGTAATATTCTTGTAAGTAAAATTAAAATTCATTTGTTACAAATATGTAGTATATGAAGTCCAAAAATATATAACGTATTGTTTATACTATATGATATATTTTTAAATAATTTAAAAAAAAGAAGAATCACTTAAACTAAACAATTGCATTTATTATTTATAATCTAATCACCCTAAAATAATTATTAATAAATTCGAAAAAATGATTCATTAAAACATTTCATAATTTATCTTATTTCTTGAACAGCTTGATATAAATACGATTGCAGCAGGTGGTGGATCAATACTATTCTTCAGATCAGGTTTGTTTAATGTTGGACCTGATAGCGCTGGTGCTGATCCTGGCCCAACTTGTTATAAAAAAAATGGACCACTTACTCTCACAGATGCAAATTTAGTTCTTGGAAGATTGTTGCCAGAATTTTTTCCAAAAATTTTTGGAAATTCTGAAACTGAACCACTTGATAAACCTAACACTATTACAGCCTTCAATAAATTAACACAAGAAGTATGATCGTTAAAACAATTATTAAATAAAATTTAAAAAATTTAGTTTATTAGCTGCTCAATATTATTTTTCTGTTTTAAAATCATTTTAAAATAGTATAATTTATCATGATGAACACATTTGCATAACGAAACAAAATACGTTTAACCAAAAATATTTATAAATAAAATGATTGTAATATTATTTTGAATATGTTATATTCGTAAAGTTTTTCTCGTAGATAAATGAATATCTTCATGAACAAGGTAAATTAGAAAAAAATATGTCTATTGAAGAAGTAGCATTGGGTTTTATACAAGTTGCAAATGAAGCTATGTGTCGTCCAATAAGAGCTATAACTCAGGTACAGAAATATAAGAAAAATACGTTTATAATAATAATAATAAAAATACCATACTATGTTATTAATATTTCTTAAAATGTACATTGAAAAAGAAATTTTTAAAAAAATATATATAATTTTAATCTATTTACATATTATGAGATTAAGAAAAACTAAACGACATTTATAAATTAATTACAAGAATTTAGATATTCAATTATAACATAGATGTAATATTTGGTATACAATTAAATGTAATAAATTATTAAATATTTGTTTGCAATTGATTAAGTTATTTCTAAAAAAAAAAACAAAATCACATGTGTACAAAAGTATATTATCAATACATGTATATAATACAACATTATAAAATATTAATATTATAAATCATCGTTAAATATAATATATCATTTCACTGGAAATCATTTGTATTCTTATCGTATCATTAAATTTGAAAAATAGGCAAAGGGATATGATACTTCTCGCCACGTATTAGCATGTTTTGGAGGTGCCGGAGGGCAACATGCGTGCGCAATAGCTCGTTCATTGGGTATAAAGCTAGTTTTCGTTCACAAATATGCCGGTATTTTATCTGCTTATGGAATGGCACTAGCTAATATTGTTGAAGAAGTTCAAGAACCTAGTAACGAAATTTATAATGAAGGTATAACTTATAACTATATTTATATTAAAAACCGATCAATTGGAGTGAAATAAAATATTCACTCGGAAGACTGATAAATTTTTTATTATTTTTTTATTTTTATAATATTTTTATTTTATATTTAGTTCTAAACTCTATATATTTGTTAAATAAGTGAATAAACTATAATATGAAAAATTATCTAATATATCGTCAAATAATGTTAAATATCTAATAACAAACTACTACAAACTATAATTTATTTGTGTTTTAAATTATTTAATAGCAATGTATTAAAGCTATTTAATCGCGATTAAATATATTTTAAAAAATGATTGAACATTCTTCGATTTTATTTATTCAAAAATATTATTTGTATCTAAAATTTTAGTTTATTAATAATGTATCTTTATTAAATATAAATTATACTTTTAAAACGACCAGACTATTTTAATATGTTTCTTTAATATATTATTGAAAATTATATTAATTAAAAAATCAAAATTCTAATATATTATTTCTACTTTATCTTATAGTGAATTGATCTAATGATTAAGTAAATGCTACTTATGATTTTACTATATTCTCATTATTATAAATCTCGTATAATAAATACTTCTATAATTCTATATTGTAAAAAAATATATATTGGTTATTAGTATTTAAAAAGTCTAAATTTATTGTTTTATTGTATTATTATAACTGTTTTAAATTTGAGAAAACATTAATTATGCCTATTGTTCAAACAATTATGTAAATGCAATTACTTAATTTATTTTTTATACAAAGTATATTTTAACAAAATTTGAATATCACTATTTTAATAAAGAAACAATAAATTGAAATGAAGTTGAAACATTTTATGTTAATATTTAATACTTTTAATAATGAAATATGTTTGCAATTATATTTGAAATAATTTTATTGCACACGTGTTTTATTATTTTATCATTTTAGAATCTTTTCATCGTTTAGATGAAAAATTTAATTTATTAGAAGAAAAAGTAATTACAAGACTTCATGCACAAGGTTTTTCAAAAGAAAAAATTCATACTGAATGTTTTTTGCATTTGAGATATGAAGGAACCAACTGTGCGTTAATGTGTTCACCAAATCTTCAAAAAAATTCAAATGTAATTTGTATGAAGCACGGTGATTTTGCATTACCATTTTTGGAAAGGTAATGCTATAAGTAATACTAATTTTATATATTCAATAATTTTCTTTTATTGAATAAATTATTTAAAAATTATTTATAATATAATAGATTTTTAAATTAGATGAGAAATATTAATGTAAAATACAAATTTTATTTCCTTTATTAAAGAATTATCTATAGATAATTTTATAAAAATATAATATACTTAAATAAATGTGTAATATATTTTTCATTCTAAATTTAGTCTTCCTATCTTTATATGTATAAATAAAAAGTCTTATGTATGTGTATATATAAACTTAAGTATAAAAAAATTTTAAGGTACCAAAAAGAATTTGGATTTACAATGACAAATCGAAAAATTTTAATCAATGATATAAGAGTTCGAGGAGTAGGTAAAACTGAAAATTTTGATGAGCCATTAATATTATGTAGTGACCATGCCAAAGTAAAAAAGGTACGCATTAAAATTATTTTAAGAATGATTATCCATAATTTTAAAATTTATTTTTAATATGTATAAAAATTTTAAATAATTTTAATATTATTTGCATGACTATATTATTTTTGAAAATTTAGATTTGTAGACTGATGTATAAATGGATAAAAACAAATAAAATAATCTGTAAATTTGATAATTCTAATGATATTAATTCATTGAAAATTGTATATAAAACAATATGAATTTGAAATGTATAGATAAAAAATAGATTTATAATTTTTATTTACACTCCCAGTCAAAGACAGTTTACAATTATGCTAATTGAAATTATAGTCACTAGGAAATATAAACTATATAATGTTTTACTTATATATTTTATAAATTCATATATATTAATTACTGCTTGTCTAACAAATTCATGAAATTCACTTTTATTTTAGTTTTCTTTTTGAAAATTACTAATTTTTTAATTTTCAAATAATCTTGTATTTTTAAATTTAGTTATATTTTCTTATTTTATATATAAATGAAGAATTAAACATTTACAATGAAATATTTTAATTAGATAAAAAGTTATTATTTTCATAATATATAAATTATATATAATTAATAACTATAAGTTATAAATAACTTATGTATATGATTAGTATTATAAGAACTTGATTCAAAGGATTTGTAAAATGATAAAAAAATATACTGCATAATTCACATACATATTTTTAAGGAATTTTTAATTATATGTTATTTCCAAATTTATTGTGTATTTACAAAAATCGGACATAGAAATGTTTTCCATTATTTATTACTTTGCATGTATATAATATGCATTTTGTATTTATATTCACAGCAAACGACTGTCTATTTTCAAGACGGCTATTATAAAACAGATATATATGATTTAAAATCACTCTCTCCTGGTCAAATAATAGATGGTCCGGCTATTATTATAGATAATTTAAATACAATTTTAATAGAACCTGATTGTTCTACCACAATTACTTTGCGTGGAGATCTTAAAATTAAAATTGGATCCATCCTAAAATCAAAAATTACTACAGATCTTGATATGATTCATCTTAGCATATTTTCACATAGATTTATGAGCATTGCTGAACAAATGGGCAGGTTTGTATTTTATATTTATTTAAAAAAATTTTAAACATCACTCTACTTTTCATATTTTCTAAATTAATTCTTATTATGTTAATTTAATAAGGAAAAAGTATACACATTTTATTTAAATTTCCATAAATTGAATTTTTTTAAATTCATTTAAAAGCGTTAACAAATACTAGTTTTATTATACAATTTGCTGTATTCAAAATATATTCATTAGTAGATCAATTCCAAGGGATTATATAATCATGTAATAATGCGTAATTATAAATAAATATTTTTAATAATTACAACTATAAAGTTTCTAATAAAAAATACTTCTTTATTGTATAGGTACATACAGGTACGTCTTATTATTTCTAACAAATTAATTGCAAGTATGTATGTGAGTTAATAAAATATTTTTATATATTGTGCATATATTTTTGCAAAGTAAAACGTATAGAAATATTTCCCATGAGAAATTTTTCAATGGTTATTTAAATATACTAATATTTATAATTCAATTCGACGACAAATAAATAGTATTATGTAGTGTTTCTTAAAAATGGAAATAAAATAGAAACAATACACTGCCCATTGAATAAATATACACTATAGGTTTGGAACTTCGTTTCGTTATTAATTAAATGTTTCGTTACATAAAGGCATTAATAATGCACACCATTACAATTATAGTACTATGAATATGCTTATTAGTATAATTGTATATTTAAGTATATATATATTTATGTCATTTTCAAAATTGAGCAGTATAGCATGTCATAATATTTATTTAATTTAATATTTTATTTTATAAAATCTTTTTTCAATATTGCATTATGTTATTTACAGTTAAAAATATTTTTCAAATATTTCATAAAGTTTTTTTAATACCACGGTTTAAATGGTATTCTTTTCATAAATTTAGTTGGCGATTAATTTTAATAATTTTGTATGTGTTATAAGACATACTTTAACTAATACATTTAGTTATCTGCACTACAGGCCAATTATAATATATTCTGAAATTAAAATTAAAATAGAATTGAAAATATAAATTTTATCTATATCAATAAAAGTTATTTATTTTTTTATATTTCATTACACAATTCTTTCTGCTAACAGTAGGGAAGCTCTTCTTATTGTTGTAAGTTTTACAAAGATTTTATTTAAAGTGCAAATATGACTTAATATTTAAAAAGTGATTTATGAAAATACTTAAATTTCGTTTAAATATTTAAATATATTTTTTAATAAAACTTATATAAATAATGTTTACATTTATACTCTTGTTTAAAATTTTTGCAAAATTATACACTTTTTAAATTGCTTTATATCTTTTAGTTTTTGACATTATTTTAACCCTTCAACTTCAATAAAAACATTATTTATTATATATAATATTATTTCATTACTAATTTTGATACAAATTTAATATCTCTTATAATTATTCCTATTTCTATTACTTTCATTATGAATTGTTTTATAATTTAACTTTCTAATTTGTTGATAAGATACTACATGATTATAATATTTTATGATTATTGATTAATTTATGTCATAATATTTCTAATTTACCTAATTCAGATACAATTTTGTATATAAAATACATAATATTTACAAAAATATTTTCTAAAGTATTTTACATTGAAAAAAATAATCAATTGTTATTAATTTTAAGTACAATTGCTTAAGAATTTAGAGTTGAACAATAATGAAAATTATTAATTAATGTTGATTATGTTATTGCGTTTATGTTTTTATTTTTATTTTTGAATTTACATTTGTACACTTTTCTTAATTATTTTAAATTAGAGTAATATTATCATAGAGACAGTGTAGAGATAATGTAGTAAGCTATATTAAATATTGTTATTTATCGGTTTCAAGCAATTTTATTACTCAATAAGCCAGCTTTTTAAATTTATTATAAATTAAAACAGTGACTTTTATTAATTTCTGATATACAACATTAATTCAAGGTTTGAAGTTTTATTTTTTACTTATACTTATCATTTTTCCTATAGATTTTATTTTCTTATTTCATCTCAATATTGTTAATTATTAATATAAAATGTCATACACACATCACCTTAAAAAAATTTCTTTTTCTCTACAAATATTGTTTATTCTGCAAATCTCTGTATAATATATTTATATATAATCATGCATTTTTATATGTGTATTTATTTATCATAAAAATATATAATTTACTTATAAAATTTAATATTATTATTTATTATTTATTACTGTTATTACTTTAAAGAGTTTTCTTTCAGCTACCATGTTTATATCTTTCGTGTAAAAATATTATATAGATATATAGTTTATAATAATGTAATAATTAGATATATAGATAAATATAGATTACATATTATATGAATTTAATAATACAAATGTTCATTTAATATTTAATAGAGTTTTTACACGTTACCTCTGATAAAAATCTAATGTGAAACGTCAGTCTTGAATGCCAAAGAACTAAAAATTAATTATAGTTTTTATAACTGAATATTATAAAATAAGAGTGGAATAAAATTTTTAACTGAACACCATCTGCCATGGGTCAACTGTGTAAGAAGTTTATTGCAAATGTGCCTTCCTATTTAGTGCCTTTACTTTTTCAAGGTCAAAGTAGCCAGCATTAATTATTCCTAATAAATTACAATTTATACTGAACATAATTATCACTCAGCTACTTAACGCTGATGTTATTGTTGAAATTTTTAAACACTATTTTATTAAATTACACACAGACACACGTGTATGTAGAACGGCAATAAAATCATTTTTGCGACGAATATGACGGATATGCATTTCAAGAGAATTACGAGATTACTGCAGTTTTTCATGGAAATGGTTTCGACCGATACTATTAAAAGTTCTTTATTTCATCAACTTGAAGAAACCAATTGTGTATCTACATTCACTATTATTATATTTAAGAAACTTTTCCGTTTCCACTAGTTACCATTTGATTTTGTCTATTTTAATTTTCATTATACTTCATTTATGCATAACTGATTTTAAATAATATTGATACGAAAACTGATAAAAATAATAAAAGAAATTTGTATAATGCTTTAAGTATTGACAGCACATGGTATTTTGAAAATTCAGTTATCTATAAAGAACTGTATCCTTATATTTGTTATTGTTCTGATAGTATGAAGAATTTTTGTTAGTTTGTGTTGAAAAGTTCGAGTAACATTGGTAATGCTTAAAGTATCTACAATCTGTGTATACAAAACTACCCAAAACCAGTAGAAGAATAGCATCATATGTATTTGGAGTATTTTAAATAAAATTTTCATTTATCTATGCTATATTAAAAATATTAATATTACTAAATATTACTGAAACTTGTATAATATTTCTTCATAAGTAATTTCCTTTTAAATTTTTTAAAATATGAAACAACTAAAATAAATACTAATTTAATAGAAAAAATATTTTGAATTTAAAATAATACTTACATGTATAGAATCACTAAATTGATTTATCTGCAGGATTTTACAAAGAACTTCAGTATCAACAAACATTAAAGAACGCTTAGATTTTTCTTGTGCAATTTTTGGTCCTGATGGCGGATTGGTTTCAAATGCACCACATATTCCTGTACATTTAGGTGCAATGCAAGAAACAGTAAAATATCAAATAAAAGTTTTTAACGGTTCCTTCAATCGAGGTGACTCAATACTCTCAAATCATCCTTCAAGTGGTGGTTCACATTTACCCGATCTCACAGTAATAACACCAGTGTTTTATAAGTAAATTTATTATTGGTATTGTATTGATTTTTTATAAAGTTATATCATTTACTGTATATTGTAAATACATTATTATTTTTATTAAATAATGAAACTATAGTATTATTTTATCTTTTAGAAACAAATACAAATTATAATATTTTCATTATTTACTAATTAATATTTTACTGTCACTGAATGATCCATAAATACTACTAATTTAATTTATAATTAAAAAAATATATAACTATTCTTAATGTTCGCATTTTAAGAAATTATTATCGTTTGTTTATGAAAATACTAAGTCTTTAAATAGTTTGATTTTGTTTATATTATAAATTAATTATATATTTTTGTTTTAAATATAGAGATATGTCAAAACCGGTTTTTTTCGTTGCAAGTAGAGGCCATCATGCTGATATTGGAGGTATAACTCCTGGATCTATGCCCCCTAATTCAACAACGTTGACACAAGTATATTTTTTAAATTATATAATTCAATTTTTATAACTTTTATAGTAATTATTATTAAATTTAGAATTGTTAAAAAGAAACGTTATTTGAAAATATTTAATATTACTGCTTATAAAATTCTATTTGTAGGAAGGAGCTACATTTAAAAGCTTCCTATTAGTACATAAAGGCGTTTTCCGAGAAACAGAATTAACAAATGAATTAATGGCCCCAAATAAAATACCTGGAAGTTCTGGAACAAGGAATATTTCAGATAATTTGAACGACCTTAAAGCACAAATTGCAGCTAATTTAAAGGTAATTTACCAATTTTCTCGTTTTATATTATATTATTTTACATTACATTATTTTGACTTCTGTTCAAAGATTATGTATTAAGATTTATAAATATTTTATAATATCCTTTTCAATTTTTTTTTAAATTTTCTGATATTCTATAAAATAAATGATACACACTCAAAAACTTCAAACTTTTAGGGAATTGAATTAATGAATGAATTAATAGATACATACAGTCTTGATGTCGTACAAGCATATATGAAACACATACAGGATAATGCGGAATTAGCAGTTCGAGATATGTTAAGACGTGTTGGTCAGAATCTTATAAAAAAGAAGAATTGTAATATTATTACGGCATCTGATTATTTAGACGATGGAAGTGAGATTAGGTTAAAATTAGAGATAGATATTAAAAAAGGAGAAGCTATTTGTGACTTCACGTAAGTTTTATTTTTTATTTTATTTTTTTGAGTATTAAATATTCAGTTTCATTTATATATTAGTTTATTAGTTTATTATTAATTTTAAATTTTATTTCTGAAATAAGTCAATATTAGTGTTCGAAATTGAGGGGTTGTTCTGTAGCTCGAACTGCCAAATCAATTGTTCAGTGGATTCGTCTCTTCCCGTAACGATTAAGAGGAAAAGGCATAAGTGGAAAGGCTGAAAATACTGTATAATGTATATTTTAAATTAAGACATTATTTATTCTGGTTTATGAATAATTATAATGCAGTTTTATGGTTGCTTCAAGTGAGAGAGAGAGAGAGGTAATAATTCTATTGCTGTGGTAAAATTACGTCTTGTAGTGGTGGCGATGTCGTTGCTGTTGTGGAGATTAGTGTGCATGTTGAATACTGGTCTATGCTGATGTTGTAAAGATCAGCATGAGAAATCGACCACACTCATCAATGATCATGGGAAGATGGTAATGGTAATCAATAGTGATTAGTAGGGAGAGTAAGCATACTTAAAAGAAGAAAATACGGTAGTCTCTGTGGTAGTTCTTCGTAAATCGACCATACTCCAAAGGGAGTATGGGACTATTGGAGAGCTAGTCACACGCAAGAACGATAAATGATAAGCCTTCAAGTACGGAAGGACTTGGTAAAATGTAGTTATAGTCGACTATTTGATAAACTGCAGTCTGACCTTGACAATTGTAATTGAAACGGACTGGAGAGATTACGAACGTTCTTCGGCAAGAAGGCACTGAGAGAGCGTTGCGTCACTTTTGGCAGACTCCATATGAAACGTAGTTCGAGCGTGAGTGACTCGCTTGTACAAATAATGAAATGGATGTACCTTATGAACTACCGACAGGGTATGCTGCTTGGTTGAGTGGCTGGCGCATTTTATTGATTACAATTCCAATGGCTTCTTGTTAATAATTTACTAACAACTACTTGTTGTTAGTACATTTAATAACAACTAAATTGTTATTGCATATTCTGTTAATAATGCACACATATATTGTAGGTCGATTGTCAGGCTTGCGGCTAAATTTCGTAGTCGTAAGTGATAACTGATACTAGATAGATTGAAAGTACACTAGTTAGTAATAACAGATGATTGAGCGAATGGTAGAATTACAGTGAGCCACGGTGCGTGGCGATTCGCGTAGCAGCTTGCGACGCCGGCAACAGCGCCGATGCCTGTTGCTATGCCAAAAATCTTAGTGACGTCAAAACAGGAAGCTCTGAAATGTTCCAGTAGCGTTGAAGGACACAGCTTTGGAAGGTTTTAGAAGTTTCATCGGCGTTGCTATGGGGAAATATTGTAAACCATTTGAATTTAAGGCGTAGGAAAATTCTCGAATTCGCCGAAACGTGTTTATAAACAAGAGTGTCCGAGAACTTGTATCTTTCCCAATTTTAAATTCGTGAGACTGCTTCAATCCCGAATAATTAGTAATGTAAATAAATGTAAATTACCAAAATTAAATCATAGTTTTAAATAGTAAATACTTTTAAAAGTATTTATATTTTTTTTAACACACATTAACTTTGAATCACACTTTTTATTATTTGATGAGCATTCACAATAAAATAAATATATGAAATTTATACTATCATGTCTTTATTAAATAAGAAATAATTACTATGATTTGAAGTATAATATAATAAAGTGTTACGGATTACAACAGTTTTAAGTCAGTTGCACATTACCTCACCACGCAGTTCTCGCCACCACATGCAAGCAACGCCGACGCTCGTTCTTGCATATTACCTTACTCCGCGGTTTACGCCCGCATGTAAGTAACGCCGACGCTCGTTCTTACCTTTATCTCTACACCGCGAGTTACATTCGCATCGAGCACACGAACGTGCACCAATATCACCACTACCTTGGAGCTCACGGATACAAGCTGTGACGTCACACGGCCGTTCTCCCACCACTTCGCACACTACAGCTCACCCCTCGTCGGCTTGTCCAAGACGGCACTAACTTGCTTCCCCTACCATCACGAGTTCCCCACCACGACTACTCAACTCACGAAAAAGGGGAATCACCCTCCAGCCTATCAAGAACACACGCACAGACTCATCCTCACCACCACTACTGAAGAAACACTAATATATTCACTATATCATACACTCATTCTAATATTAATAGATTATTAACTACTCATTACTTATTACATTTAATAAAAGTAAAGACTATAAGCACAAAAGACAATATTGAATAATTGCATTGCCCCTTCCACTTGCCAGCAAGCCTCCACCCACCATCATAAGGAGGTTTAAAGTCTGATCCCAGGCACAAAGAGTGAAAGAAAATGCTGATCTAAATATAAATAAATACATGCGTGAAATCGTTATTGTTTTGCATACAATTATAAATTAGTAGTACCTTAGTATTGAATAAGCTGACATCGATGCTTTATGAAAGATAATATAAATTATTGAATTAGCGTAAGCATATATTTGTTGTGAAATTTTTAATATCATTGATTTAATACCATGAGTTTTTCTTTTCATATATTACTAGTAGATAAATAATAAAATTATATATTGAATTATGTATTTTTTCTTTAAAATAGAGGAACTGGATATCAAGTTTGGGGAAATTGTAATGCACCTCGTGCCATCACTTTATCAGCTTTGCTATACAGTTTGAGGAGTATCGTTGGATATGATATTCCTCTTAATCAAGTAAATCTACAAATATTTATTATTACACATTAAATAATTTGTTGATATTATATTACATTTTTAAGAAAATTATATGTGTAATATAACAATTTATACAATTTTCAATATATTGTACTATTTTATTTTATTATCAAGTTTTATTTATAATTATTATTAGTTTCTGTAATATACAATATAATACGAAATCCTATTAATAATATGAAAATAAATATATTTGTTTAGTGCAGTAATTTTTTGTTATCCATTGGTTTATTTATTTTTTTAAAAATCTAACAATTTCATTTGTGAAGTTCCAAAAACTTAAATATTAAATTAATATATTATTATGATATAATATTTAACTCAATAATACATTGCTCCAAAATAAATTTATAACATAATAATACGAAATAAATATCTAAAAATATAGGGTTGTTTAACACCTGTGAAAGTAATAATACCGCAAGGATCGCTTCTTGATCCATCTGAAGAAGCAGCTGTCGTAGGTGGTAATGTACTTACTTCTCAACGTATTGTCGATGTAATTCTTTCTGCATTCGGAGCATGTGCATCATCCCAAGGTTGTATGAATAATATTACCCTCGGAACTGACGAATGGAGTTACTACGAAACTATTGCTGGCGGTAGTGGAGCCGTAAGTATTTTATTATTTAGTAAGCAATTTATAATTTACCTGATAATTATTTTTTAGTCCTTATATTAATATTAATTAAAGAGCTGATTTAAAAAAAATGTCTTCGCTCTGTCAGTTTCATCACTATAATTTAGTAAACATAAGTTAACATAATATATATTCAAGGGAATTTATAAAAGATAAAATCAAATGTCTTTAAAAAATTACTATATAAATATTAAGAATGATTTAAGAATCATATCATATTTTTAAAATTCTTTTATCACAATTAGGGACCAACTTGGAATGGTAGGAGCGGTATTCATACACACATGACCAATACAAGAATTACTGATCCTGAAATTTTAGAAGTTCGATATCCTGTAATATTGCATAGATTTTCCCTACGTACAGGAAGTGGCGGTAAAGGCATTTATCAAGGTGGTGATGGAGTTATACGCATAATGATGTTCCGGTAAGATACTTTAAAAAATTAAAAATTGTACAGTACTTGTTATATTAATAAAATGTATTTCTAATTCAATATTATATTAACATATAATAATTAACACAAATAAGAATTTGTTTTATAAATTAATAAAAAAAATATTAAAATTATGTAGGTAAGAAAAATGTTTTTATCAAATACAATTTTAAAGATACTATCAATACTCGATTTATTCTCGAAAACATAAAAGTTAGACCGTTTTAACTGTCACCGTATTATAATTAACTCATAACAGCGTACTAATATACTTTTAATCAACAGTCTCAAGTGGTGGATGTATAAGACATATGGAAGATCACGCATACTTTATGAGTTACTAGTATTTTACTACTACTACTTTATGAGTTAATAGTTTTATTTATTACCTTCTTCTTTATTATAAAGATATGAAATATTTGATATCTTAAACTTAACGTAATGTCTCGATACAAAATCTAACTATCACTCTTTTCTCTTACTAATATATTGATTTTTATTTAGTACTTTTCAATACTCTTTGAATTATAACTGAGTATATTTCGTTGTATTTAATATTAAATACATCATTCACTTAACAATAGTTTTGCGTGTGGACTTTAGAGCTTTATTTAGACTTTCTATTATATTACCATACTATACAAATAATTGATAAAATGGTAATTGCAAATGAACATAACTTCCAGCGGGTTATTAAAAATCCCGTACAAAACATACCAATAATTTTTTCAATGAGTAATTCAGTACTTCGAGTTCTTAATAGTTATTTTCACAAGAAAAGAGTATACAGATGATTTCTAATAAACATTATTTACCTTATGTATAATATATTTTTTTTTAAATATTTATACAAATTATAAAAATAAATATTTCTTTTCATGCCATAAATTATTGTATATCATAAATGTTATTGCATAAATACTAAGATATGGTATAAATGTGAATATTTTAAAATGAAATCTTGATTATTTCCTGATTTTCATTTCTTCTCGATGCTTATGAATCGCTAATATCTATTATATAGTCAACTAAAAAAACTTAGTTGTACTAAAAAATAATAACAGTTTTATAGATAGCTAATTTAATTTGTTTTTAAAAATTATTTTGCATTCAACATTATTTTAATTTTTTTTTACAACGGTGATTATGGAAGGCCGACTACTTTGTATATAAAATATATATGTAATATCCACTTTTTGTATTTCCATTTTTATAATATATGTATATCTGCGCACACACACGCGCGTATGTATGTATACATACATATTTTCTTTTCTTCGTCGCTTGTCAATAATTATATTTTATATAATGTAAATAATGTTTATTGGAAATCATCTGTATACTCTTTTCTTGTGAAAATAACTATTAAAAATTCATTCGGTATTCTTACTACATGTGTAAAAAATGTCGACAAGAGACATTTATGGGCTACATATTTTAATTCGTATTTAAAAGAAATGGGAAGACGTTACATTCGTTATTTTTGAAGGTAAATTTAACCTTTCTGTGAAGAAATATAGCACTTGAAAATATCGAAACCTATTAATATCCGAAAGATAATTAACATCTAAATTTCGTGGGTTTTATTTTTACAGAGAGTATTTTAAAATAAAAGCCAAGACATTTAACACACAAAATTTCTCAAATTCTAAATAATACATCGTAAGCCCTCTCGACCTCTCCTCTTTGTAAGTCCGACTCAATGAATTCAAAACACAAAAAAATGTGCGAAATACGCATCTTTCTTTAAATTTAAAATTTATCAAATTTATTGAAATTTAAATGCTTTGGCTGAGTGGAATAATCTTACTTATGGGATTGGGTAAGATTTATAACTGTTATTCTTGTGTAATGAATCCTAAATCTTTAAATCATACATGTAGAAAATGGAGAATGATTATTTAATGAAAAACTTTATAAAATTATCTTTTACCTAGAATACTATACTATATACGCATAAACGAGAGAATTTTCGAAGTATTATCCAGTAACTATACCAAGAATTTGCGCTGTCATCTCTTAAAATAAATTAAATCAGATTCTGTTGCATCGAGATCGACTTACATTACATGCTATTCAAGTGGTTTTCCGCAGTCATGACCTCTCTACCACATAGCTAGAGTATCGATCCTATTCAAGGTTTTTTTATCTCAGTGCTTCTTCGTGTAGTGACACGTGGTGGTAGCTTGAGTGTTACTCTACTCTGAGATTATTGTTTACTGTGTAGGTTCTGCAGCTGTTGCCTCGTGAGGCATCTTGAATATAATTATCATTAGTAGGAACGGAACTTTTACCTTGTAGGTTCTGCAGATTTTGTGCTCTTGATGGTACCTTGTAGTGGTTTGCAGATTTTGCCTCGTGTGGTACTTTCTAGGTACTGTTTTGTGTGGTCCTCTGTGCACCACTGTTTCCTTCTTCATTTTTCTTGGCTCTGCCGAGAGTATGTATTGTGAACCTATCTTGCACTTATCATGAGAAGGTCACGACAAACCTTTTCATCCTTTTTCCTTGCCCTTTATTATTTGTGTACAACATTGTTCTTTGACGTTTTTTGTAAGAAGCGTATGTGTCTTGACGTCGTCTGCCTTAAAAGCATTATCTTGACCACCACTGTACATATATACAGCCCTTCCACTTATTTCCTTACCTAAACATCGCTAAGGCGGGCGACAAATAAACTGAAATATTAAAGTTGGCAGTTAGAGTCAGAAAATTAAATACATTCGATGCTTCGAACTCGATTCGAGAAATATAAATCAATGCATTATACTAAATATTATTTATAAACACATACTGTACAAAATGTACTCGCCGTTCCGGCTTGTTTTACCAAGACCGGTTCGAAGGATACAAATGGATGCTGTTAACAACTCAGAGACCACGGAGTTGTGTGAGCGATTAAAGGTCACCGTGGAAGGGATATTATAATAACTCAATATAAATATGGCTGGTGTATATGTTCTTTATTCTGTTATTTATTCGATTACAGGGCTTGTAGTATTACTATTATTAATTATTGAAATAACTCTTGTGGTGGATTAATACGTTTGCGATGGCAAACGTACACTCCTCTAATGCAGCGTGATGGTTCGAATATGAGCGCAGAATGGCGCGAAGTTTGATTCGTCGACACTAGCGCTGTTCGTGTGAGCAAATGCGTAGTTGAGGTTATGGTTGTAATGGTGCGCGACACATGTAACTGTTATTACTTGATAATATACTCGTATCGTAGCAAGCGTACCTTGTCTTGATGTTTGCGCACTGCAATAAATTCAGATGGAAGTAAAAGTTTGAAGGGCTGCTACCTCGTGAAGGATACTGCTACGTGTTGCGTCTGCTATGAGCATTGAATGGTACGCTGTGGATTCATAATCGTCAGACTTTGAACTAAAGTGAGAGTTTGCCGATAAGACGCGCATCAGCTGGCGCGAACTTGGCGACGCGTTTGGAATTATTTCGCACTGTCTCTCTGATGAGAGCCTCTTCTTCCTTGGTTGTTTTTCAATGACAGATTCTCTGAATCTTAGATGTTAGTTGATTATTATAGTAATGATACTACTTACGAAGACCAATAGTAGACTTAGTAGAGGAACTTTCCGCTCCTTCTTCAAGAGGACTGCCACTGGATACTTGTCTTCGGACTCCGATAAGGGAATATGTCTTCTGTCCTTTAGGATTTGTAACAACCTTTGTCTTGAACTACGTTGTGATCGGATCTGCACTTTATAATTGAATAAGTACTGTATCGAGTGTTTGAATATTGGAAATGTGCCTATTAAAAACATTTGCTGGTCATGAACTTCACTTGAATCCCTTCCCTTATTTTCTGTCCAATCAGTGTTCCTTGCTTACAGAGCGAGAGTAGCACCTCTAGAGGATTCATAGTCAATTAAGGCGTAGTCGTCTCTTGGTCTTCACAGCAAGAAGAGCTCACGTTTCCTCTGAAGCATTTGGCGACAGTATGACAACTTGTGGACAGAGGGAAGGGAGCTCAGTACATACCGCTTTGAATTTAGTTACCGAGCCGAGCGAAGTCATACAGATGCCTAATGAGTTGAGTTTTCCTGAGTTTATCATCTTGTTTTGTCAGATGTTTTATGACACTATTGCTAGATGATTGTGAGCAAGAAATTTCCGAAATCTAAAACGACAAATTTTCGATGTTCTTTTGTCAGATGTGTTATTGGCAATAACCGTACGTACAAATCGAACACATCAAATTCTGATTGATTAATATTTTAATAAAAAAAATGTTATAAATATATAAAATTGAATACTAAATCAACATTTTATTTTGTGTTGCGAAACAAAAAACTTAAACTAATCCTAAAGAAAACTATATCTGTTTGTATTTTTTCTTAGTGTGCCAATGATGCTTTCTGTATTAACTGAAAGAAGAGTTTATTGCCCTTCAGGATTAGAAGGTGGACATCCTGGAGCTCGCGGTAGAAATACTCTTAAACGAATAGATAATAAAGCGATTATCAATTTGGGTTCAAAAACTGCGATAACAGTAAATCCTGGGGTAATAAATACGGTTTTGGATATTTTTTTTTATTGTCAATAAAATATGTTACTAATATTAAATAAGATTTTCATTATTTATATTTATATTTTTTAATCTTTTCAGGATGTTTTTATACTCGAAAGTCCGGGAGGTGGAGGGTTTGGTGATTTAAAAAACTATTCCAAATAAAATTATAAATATTTTTTTAACAGAGTAATGTTTTTGAATATTGCAGAACTCAGGAATCTACTTAATAAAAATATTAATTTACATGGAAAATATAATATGAATTTAACATTATTCTTATACATAATTTTATTAAGAATTAAAATACTTTTTGAAATTCATTAAATACTATTCTATTCCATCCTCTAATCTATATTTTGTATCCTAATTGAATGACTATTTATAATATTCAACTTATTTGTATTAGTTATATACTACAATGCATACAAATAATTAAAAATGGAGACATTGAAATTTATGTTATTTATTTTGTAATGTGCGACAAATATCTATTAAATACATCTTAAAGTTTTTTTTAAATTATAATTATAATTCATAAAGCAAATAACAATTAGCTATCAATATATTAATTACAAAACGTTAAAGCAAATGAATAATCAAAGCAATATCAAATTAGAACAATATTCTACATAGAAAATTTAACTGAATCAATGAAAAATACTTGAAATATTAATTTATTGAATGAAAAAATTAATAATTTATAAATTTAGTAAAAAAATATCTGAAAAATTTATGGATGATATATTAATATTAATATTGAATAATTATAATCCAAAAAAAATAATTGCATAACATAAGATTAACAATTTTAAAATAACTACTAGCAAATATAAACTCAAAATTGTTTTTATTCATTCTATCACACATTAATTAAGCCATTCATAGATCATTACCTATTCATTATTTATTATATTTAATAAAAGGAAAGACAATAAATATTAAAGGCAGTATTGAATAATTGCATTGCCCCTTCCACTTGCCAGCAAGCCTCCACCCAACATCATAAGGAGGTTTTTTAGTCTGATCCAGACAAGTATCGTAAAATATAAAATATATTGTTTTAATAAGATTATTTTTAACATGATAATAATAGACTTTCGAAAATGTTATTAACAATAAATTCTTTAAAAGTAAAAACGATTGATAAAAATTACTATTTACGTGTAAAATAATAACAAACAAGTGAAAATGTGAAACCAATTTATTGAAATATAAAACAATATATAAAATATACTAAATAAAAAAATTAAGAATAGAGGTTTTTTATAAATTTAAAAAATATATAATCATAAATTATGTATAAAATTCATGAAATACATATAGATTATAAAATTATATTTCAAATAATATAAAATTAAAAGAACTTTAAAAATTAAAGATTTATTTTAAATAATATATGAAGATCAACAAATTTCTTTTTAGTTCATGCTCATATTTCGTACAATAAATGATTCTTTTAACAACATAAATTAAAATGCTTAAATTTGCACCAAGAATCAGTAAAAAAACAGAAGCAGATTAACATATTAACGGGATTTATTACAAATACATCAGATCTACTTTCAGATGTTGCATTTATTCATTATCTTTGAATGAAGATCCGGTTATCTAATTTTAATTATTCTAAAATACTAAAAGCCGGCTATTTAATTAAACAAAAGTACTTTATTTCTTAATTTTTTTTCAATTTGAAAAATGAATTATTTGAAGCAAAAAAATATAAAACATAAACAAATTTTGCATGTAGAATGCATCAATTTTATCTAAAATTTTATTTTTAAGTATTTTAATCCAATTCTTATTTCCTCGGATCTTTTTTGAAAATTATAGATAAAACCTAAAAATTATATTTATTCAAATGTATATTTACTTATATATAAATATTGAAGTACAGACATTGTTCATTTAAAAAATCATTTATTTTTTGTAACTGCTCACTTAAGCATGTTGATACTATATTTCATGAACTGTATGTATGATAATAACTATACTTTAAAATAATAGAGATAATATTAATTAGATAATATTAATAATAATATATTAATATCTTCATATATTATTTAAAATAAATCTTTAATTTTTAAAGTTCTTTTAATTTTATATTATTTGAAATATAATTAATAATATTTTGTTTTTCAATAAGAATTAATATATATTAATTAATGTAGATTTGTTCACTATAAAAATTTATATAGCAAAAACAGATATCTAGCTTAATTAATAAATACAAATTTTAAACTTAGAATTACAACAGCTAAGAAGTCATTTTTTAACAATATAAATAGAAAATACATTTAAATGTCATTATTAAAAGAACAATGATATATGAATTTGAAAAACTTTACATTTTATGGGACAAAAATTATATTTTATTTGAAATAACTATTTTATAGAAGTATAAATATCGAATATCATATTAAAATATAAAAATATATAACATAAATTTAATCAAGTTATTAGTAAGTATTTTAGGTATACAATATAATAATAAAGTGAAATTTAGCAGGAGTGGTAGTAAGTTCCGCCCTAGAAAAATAATATTGTCCAAAATGTACTCGCCGTTTCCGCTTGTTTTACCAAGACCGGTTCGAAGGATACATATTGATGCCGTTGACAACTCAGAGACACGGATGTTGTGTGATAGAGGTCACAAATGGAAGGGATATTATAATAATTCAATATAAATATGGCTGGTGTATATGCTGTTTATTATGTTTGTTCAGGATTGAACAACCCAATAAAAAATAATAATTTATTGTTTGTTATAATACAATTCCGATACATTATATTTAGATTAAGGCGCAATTTTTGAATTATACGTTTCGAAAAATTCACTGGAAATTTAGCCGTGTACTTTGTCCACATAGGAAAAAAAGAAGCTTCTCCAACATATTAAAACTGGAATCCAGAGAATTCACAACGCTAAATGTACGCAGTCGTATTTAAGAAGCAACGAATGGAGAAGAAAATTAGTCTTGTTGAATAACTCAAGTGAAATTAGTGCCAGTCATACCAGTGAAAGTTGAACTCGTCTAAGGGAATCCGTGCAAGGTATATTCATTTGTTTATATTGATTATTTTATTATTAATAGTCCCCACTACATTCACGAGCCGAATCTCGCTCAATACAGTTCTAGCGCCGACTCAAGCGACTAGGTTTTCACGAGCCGAACAACGCGCCACTAATTTTATCACCGAATCGAACGTCAAGTATTCGCAAGCCCAACAAGGCTCTCTGAAAAGCCATGGTCGAATCTATTGTTTAATGATTCTCGAACTGGAGAGACTCCTTTAATTTAGGGACTAAAGCATGTGCCCAGTACTTCCAATTTACCTTTTTGACTTGCACTCCTAGACGACGTTCCAACTTAATGGACAACTGCCTCATTACTGCAAACTCAACAATTCTCATTACAATCAGTAACATCAACATGTTACGAATCGAAACAGTTGAAAAAAGAATAGAAAAGTGGGAGAGGTATGAGCGCGCGAACGGTTGTTTATAAACACTAGCCAACGCACTCGAATGTTTCTACGCCGAAAACCCGAACATACGACTAAATTCCAAAGAATTATAACTATGAATGAAATGAAATGAAAAAAAATGAAAATGAAACTTACAAAAACTATCCCTTATTGACTTCACGACAAATACCGGCATAGCAACAGACACAGGATCGCTACCGGCGCCTAAAAATTACCAGGAGAATATTTAAGTGCTGCGCTTGCCACGCGCCAGTCTTTGTTTTAGTCTAGCGTAATAATGATTACGCAGTCAACGCGAAGAACTCTCAGTCGCAATCTCAGTCTAGCATAACAACGATTACGCAGTAACACAGCGAGCTCACTATTCAGTTTTCAAGCTTCTTTTTACAGTTATCACTCACTGTAGATACACACGTACGCAATTGCTCAACCATACCGTTAGATACCATTTCAATATACCGTAAATATACAATCGATATCGATTTTTGCGAATCCAGATCAGCACTTCTGAAATTTCAAGAGTTAATTTTCTCCTGTGTGAATCTGTTCATTGATGGAATATTCGGAAGCGGATGGGCTTGAGCCATTGAATGCCACTCGTAATCTAGTGGTGGAGCTGTCTGGTTTTAATACGCCATGATGAAACAGATAATACTGAGGATTGTCTTGGGATTCTGGAGAAGCTCTGATCATGTAGTTGAGGTCGTCACATGTCTGTATGAATTCTTGGTATTCCATGAATGGTAATGACAGACCTTTGGCGTGGTAAATTGAGCTTCCTTGAATATAACTTCCGAGCCATTGTCAATTCGAAGACGTACTTCTACTGTAACCGATGGTGAGCTAATTTTAGCCATGGCAGTTGCCAACAGGGTAGGTAACTTTAGTGGTGTTGATTGAGTGACGACTGCACCTTCTCGTCAGGTCGTGGTGTTAATGGTGTTGATAGTAGTCGACGATGGCCTTATTGGGTTGTGTACTTGCCTTTGACTTACTATCTTCATGTAATAAGGCGTGGTGTCGCCTTATACAAATTTTGCAACTGCTGTAATTCTTGCACCGATCCCTTTGGATGATAGCGCAGGCAGTTGATTTGCTATGAGCTTGTAATGTGACTATGTAGATTCATAATCGTCAGACTATTCAAAAATTATTTCCAATAATCTGGTTCGTCAATCACACGTATATAATTAACTAAGAAACCACTAGATGTTATATCGGAAAATGCGTGGACAAGTGGAAGGGTTAATGCACCGTTTCTATAATTAACACATATAACTCTTACTACTGTTTATTCCAATTATTTTCAATTTATTTCCAAGTCGGGATGATTAATCGTGATGAGGTTACAAATGACCTTTATGTTTCTCAATAATCATGTGGAGTTGTAATATACTTTTATAGGAGAACTAGAGGATGATAAATTCCTTATTTTGTGATTTACTGTGAAGGAGATAGGTTATAATCTATTGAATATTACTACTTGAGAGATTGTGATCGTTTTTTGTGCTCTGAACGAACACTACAATTCTTGTTTGAGTCGTGATCTTGACACATGTTGCAGTTGCCTGTGAATAGTGCGCCGTGTGAGTGAGCACATGCCTAAAATAGAGGTTCGAGGAAATGTGTGCCACAATATGGCGCAAATTGCAGGTCTTGCGTAGTGAGCATGCACGGGAAGCTTCTGTAGTCGGACTACCTGCTGTCTATTTTCAGAGTAAAGCCGTGTTCGGGATTGATG